CAATGTGTATTATTAAAGGTGAACTTAAATATTTTTATTCTAAATCTTTTTTCTTAATATGTTAGAAATAAAAAAAAAATCTATTAATAGTATATATTTTTTACTTGAGGAAAAAATCAAAATAAATTTTACATTTGCGTATAATGCATGATTGGCTTGAATCATTCACACAAATATATCAAATCTAAACGATGTTGATTAACATTGAATTAACAATTAAATCTAATTGTTGACCGTGACAACAAAGGAAGATATAAAAAATCACATACATAAAAATAACGACAATGATAATGATGATGATTATGAAGACGATATTAATTAAATAGAGAAATGAGACTTCGTTAGCAATCAACAATCATTGAAAGTCGATTGATTTCATTCTGGATTTTCAACACATACTTATTTATTTATTTTTGTTTAATTATAGCTTTTAATTAATACCATTAAAGATTATGTTTCATGGCAATATATTTTTATAATGTTTCATATATGTGTTTCTTCTTATATTAGCCCCTTGTATATTAATTCAGAATAATATGTGTTTCAAGCATAAAGTTAATAAAAATCCCCCCTATATATTAATTCAGAATGTGCTGAGCCTAAGTGGTAAGCTCGCATGCTTCGAGATCCTATGTGGTAAACTTACATGCTTCGTTATTAGGCTTGGGTAGATTTTAATTTACTTCCAAACCAAAAATAATTAAGTCCGGTTTATCCGTAAATATGTTGATTATTTATGGTCATGTTACATTTATTAATTGCATTTTAATATCATTTCTTATTATAATCGTTGAATAGTAAATGTATTTTAAAAGTTAATAACTTTTATTTTTTATTAGTTTTACAAATTAATCATCATAATCTTCGATTTAACATCTATATCCATATTGTATGTATAAACAAATATTTATATTTATCTTTATAATAATAATAAAATTATTTTTTAATATTAATTAGAAAAATAAAATTTTTATCAATTAATATATAGTTATATGATATAAGTTATAAAATTTACTATAATATAACACATGTAAGTCGCACAAGTAACAAGTGTTATTCTAAAATATATAATAACATATATTTTTTGTAAAAAAAAGTAAGTAAAATTTAAAACAAATTTTCTTATTAATTTTAAAATCTAAGAATAATTTTTTAAGTACCTGTGCAATACACGGGTGTTGTACTAGTATATCTTTTAAATTATAAATATTAATAATCATGTGCGACACACACGTGAAACTTCCTAGAAATTAAAGGGTCACATTCTAAGGGAAGTATTCAAGATTAAATTGCATAAGGCACCAAAGCTACCTGAAATTGGGGATAATCTGGGGCACTGAATAATGTGATTAGCTTCCCAGATTCTACAGTGTGATCGATAGTATACCCTAAATCCATTCCACCAAGATCAGGTCGTTTATCCCTAGCATCAGGACCTTCATGTGACCTGATAATCAACTGTAGTTGCAGGAAAATGAATCTTAAATAGTAATATAAAATTCATCATACTATTCTAACTACGTAGTACACAACATACAAACAACTTAAGTCTCAAATTTAGGACTTCCCATGATTTGCAGTGAAGAAGAGAACACAAGATTTTTAAATCATTTTATAGTCCTCAACCTGGAACCAACTGCAATTTTGTGATTTATAGGAAAAAAACTAATTCTTTTACTTCGTGAGAACAGTTTTGTATTTTAAGAAACCCCAACATGCTCTAGACACTCAACATTCAACAATAAGTGCTTCACATCTCTTGATGCCATGCAGTTACTAATCAGAAAAGTATTCAAAGCTGCTTCATATTAAACAACTAGCTACTAGTTATGCTTACAGCAGATGCAAATAGATTCGTAGCACTAGGTCTCATTCCACAATTACATCAAAACTGTGAGAAGTCAAGTATAATGATGAAAAGAATGCTGTAACTGCAATTTAAAACTTTTTCCGAGGATCAATGTTGGTCGGCTGGCAAAGGGTCACGGTTTGTGTAGACAATGTACTAAAGACGACAAAGGCAGCTCGACAAGCCCAAAAATTCAGAGATATATTTATTTTCTACATAATTGTACTTCAGTCCTTCAAATAAAATACATTTCATTTTATCTCGTACAAAACTTAAATATTAATGGTGTTAAGCACTAGCACTAACACAAGAGTTGCCGGACAAGGTGAACATACACATTACAGAACAGTGTTTGTTGATTTTCGATAATGATGAAGCTTCACATCCAACTATGTCGAAGCATAAATCATAAAAATTTCATGGATTTTTAAGTTAATACTCCTTCCTTTCTCAAACCTAGAAATTTAATAGATTCTCAAGTTTTTACTCCCTTGTCCCTTCCCTTCTCAAACCAATCTCCCTACCGAACCCCTATGCCCACCTCAAACAAACAAAGGAAGAAGTGCATGTGTACAAGTCTAAAAAAGAAAAAGAATATTAATCAATAATAGGCAGAAACAGAACTACACCCCACTTACATTTGCCCTAAATTTTGAGAACAATGAAGAGACTAGGGCTACTCACGCTTTGTTCCAACATCTAATCTTGGACATGCTGCCATCATAAATGTCTCACGAGTAAATCTTGTATATTTAAGCTTTCACGTTTACGGTAAAAATAAAATATCTAAAGACAAAACTCCATGCTACAAATTGACGAGGGATGCGCACAAGGATGAGCAGCATAAAATTGCGTACCTTTAGATTGAACTTCTTCAAAAAAGCTTCAGTACAATCTGGGCCCCACAGCAGGCCAATTCCGCGCTCCTTATTTGGAGCAAGACCAGGGCTCATTGATGGGTCTGACCATAAAACATCACCAGGAATCAGATTTGGACCTTCCCACGGAGGATCAAGGACCGACCTTCTAGCTTTCCCCAACTCTTCCAAGTTACCAAGGGTCAAAGAAGTCACCTCGGGGTTATGAACAACCTTACGATTCTTCTTTTTAGACCTTTTTGATGGGGTAATGATAGTGCCACGGAAAAGCCCTCCATGTGCAGTGTAAACTTTCCCAGCTATGATGGAAGCAAGGGGAAGTCCTTCGAAACAGCCTAAACACTTTCGATAGACATGCTTTCCATTATCTCCATATTTGGTATATACTTCCTTCTCAAACCCGTATACAGATGTACAATACTTCGACTCATGATTTCCACGAAGAAGATACACCCTGTGAGGCATTACAACCTACAAAATACATAAGCCGTCTTAAAACTAAATGCTCAAACTCCAATTGTACTATTTTTAGGTGTAGTTGGGAAATGATGGTAAAAACTCAAATGCATTATGTCAATGAGAATTTCCCCTGACAAGAAAGGTAGTTCTTACATAATAATCGGTTTGATAGAAAAGATACAAGAAATGAAGGCAGAACCAATCAGACTTTTAACCATGAGACACTCCTAATAAATGAGCAAAAGATGTCACAAGAGTTGGAGGATGAAAACATTCGACCCAACTGGGATGGAACACAACAATCTCACTAAATAAGGCGAAAACTAAACATTTTATCCCGTATTATTTGACTCATTATATTCCTCCATTTTCACTGGGCATTCAAATCAGAAATTTGATACAGAAAATTGTAATCTGAAATATCCCAGCCACGGAACGGTCCAAAAAATAAAATGAACATCATAACATAGTTGAAAATCCAACTAAACTTACAACAAACTGCTCGCATAATGTAAGATGGGCATGGAATTTGAAATATTGCGACACAAGACTTGGTATAAGAATAGCATCAAAATACACAAGATTCCAAATAGAGAAAAGAAAGTGGCGTAAAAGCAGAAAGCACAGAAGGAAGATGGTTTGAAGGACAGAATGACAATAACCCAATGAGACTGCAAACTAAAACAAATTAACAATTTCCATTGCTTACTCCAAATGGCCACTTTTACGACTGATATTCAAACTGCCAGGATTCAATCAAAGACATCCAAAAATAAAGGACAATTAACCAAAGATTTGACGGAGATACAAGGGTTCTTATTCAAGGTGATAATTGCCACTCATTTGGGATCAAACATTCCAGCAAAGTGGCCTAACTGGACTCGAGACAGGCAGAAAATATAAAGACTATAGGCTTCATTGCATCCAATAATTTATGTTCATTCAACGAGAGATTTTTATTTTTCAGAAGTCATGATTGGTCACAAAAATTGTACAATCCGTCATTCTGTTTTTTTTTTTTTCTCTCCTCAGTCTCATCAACAAATTTTTGAAATAAAAGCAGTTCATTACTAAACATTTTCCGACGAAATTTCACACTTCATCCACTTATATGGTTCTTATTATCAATATTTATTTACTTTTTTACCACCATCAACTTTAATCATTCCATTTCATCTTGTATTCATTCACATTCTAAAAATTTCACTATTCCTCACCCAAATTTTTTCATCATAGGGAGGATATTTTCAATATATACTCGGTGCTCAAGTAGACTCTTTATCATCCACAGAAGAAATATTCGTATATCTATGACAAACTCTCAACATTCTTGATGCAATTTATTAGAGAAATAAAGGTAAGACTCAGCAAAATCCAGCACCAAGTGGACTGCACTTTTGAGTCACATTGGCTGGGTGACTGGGAAAAACAGAGATACATATTTTACCGTATTCGGCATACCAGTGATTAAAAAATGCATGGGGCAAGGCAAGACGACAAGCCTGCTATTTGCCATGGCATGAGGTGCAAGGCCAGGCGCTCGCCTTATGAAAATGACGCGAGCCAATAGCAAACATAATTATTTAGAGATAAAGCATAATAATCTATAATATATATACTTTAGTTGAAAACATCAAATAAATTATTATCCTAAAAAAGAATTCTTTCACAAAAATAAATAGTGCTTTCAATTTTGACTCTAGCAAGCCTTTTTGACCAACCAACTCATTGCAGTAAATTCTAAAAATATAAGGAAATTTTGAAGAAGGGAAACAAGGGATAGGTTCTGAAAAAATAAGAGGGAAAAGAAAAAACAAGATAGTGGAAAATCAGAACAGTTGGCGGAAGGTCCAACAATGTCCAAAATCAATGAGGAAGGATGGCAACTAGAATTTGAGAAGGAAAAAGAAATAAATAAGGAAAAGAAAAAGGAAATGTTGGAGAATCTTTTAGTCACCCACACCTATTCGAGTCGCCCAAGGGCCGCCTCGCCTCATGCCATGGCGACGCCTTTTTAGTCAGTGCATCATACCACAGCCTGCTTACCAAATAATTCCATTAATATCCAATATTAGCAGTGCATTAAGTGCATCCAGAGATTAAAAAAAAAAACTTCTTAGTGTTATTGGATCATTAGACTAGTATCTGGATGCTTTAACAGCATTATACACATACCACGAAAACTCTTACTGCCGCTTAATCACCACAATACATTAAAAAACATAACCATACCTTGCTAAAGTAAAGAAAAGCATAGGAAGAGCAACAAGTGAACGAAGACAATACACTAAAAGGTGGTCACAACAGCACATCCAAAAGTGCACTTTTACTCTTCTAGTTTTTGGGGCGTTCAACCACAAGCATTTTTACACATTGGCTCAGATTCAATGGGATAAACACTACACATTCCATCCTTTTTGCTCTTTGGTACATTTCTTTCCTTTTCTTTCTTTCTTTTTTTTTTCTTTTTTTTTTTTTTGGGATAACAAGACACCCCATCCTTCAATCCACCCAAACATTACCATGCTTTATTCTTTGCGAAAAGTTGGAGAATCATAAAATTCTGTTCATCAGCTTGTTTATAACTCTAATCTTATATTACCACATAACAAAACACATGTCAGTCTCAGTTACCAATTCAATTTCACACACATCACCAAAAGTAAATCATAAATTAATCAAATGTTAATATGCATCAATTTGATCGAAAAGGATAATAAAAATTTAGTTACTCGAATCACTTGCATTTCCATAATGAACTCTATAGAAAAGACAGAAAAAAAAGGGATATTTATAAGTCAACACTACTAGGGAAGTAACAAAGGGCAAAACCAGTTCATTTAAATGCAAAACCACTAACCTTCCAGGCCAGTAAGAGTAGAAAAACCTCAAGGCCCCAAGCACCTCTATCCACATAATCCCCATTGAAAACGTAAAAACGATCTTGGGACGGAAATCCAGCATCCGTCAGCAAAAACAAAACATCGTGCAGCTGCCCATGCACATCTCCAACCACTACAACCCGGGAGTCTGCCATCAGCCCAGATTTTTCATCAATTTGAACACAATTGGGCTCTTTATGCAGAATCTTAGAAGCGGCAAGTACAAGTTTATCAAAGACTCCGACAGGGAGCACGGAAGGAAATTCGGAAGGGGGAATAGCTCTGGAGGCCCAGTCGAAGGCTTGAATGAGGTTGAAAATCCAGGAAACAGTGAGGGATCCGTCGACGGGCCATGTGATGGGGATCTGAGGAAGGTGGGTTGAGTTGGGGAATTTAGAAGTCGGGGTGGAGGCGGCGGGCAACAAGCCTTCGTCGGAAGATGGAGGCTCTGTAGCCGCGGCCGGAGGTGAGGACATCATCGCCACTTCTCTTGATGAAATGGAATGGGGGTGCCTTTGATTATTGGAAAAAAATAATAACTAATTAGCTAATTATTTATACCTTGCAACACTTTTGTATCCGAGAGTCCACTTGAGCAAATAATTGAGAAATTTACCTACACTTAAAACTTACTAGTACAATAAACCCTGTATTACACGGGTGTTGAATTAAAAAGCATATTTAAAAATATTGAATTATTGTTTTTTTTAAAAAAAAAAAACTCTAAAACTTAAATAATTTAATTTTATGAAAATATTACTTTGAGTTTTAATTAAATTGTGAAACTAAATTTTTCTAATCATAATTATTAAATACCCGTGTACTAAATGAAAATGTCAACTTATATTGTTTTTTTTTTTCTTATCATATAAAAATATCAATAGTATTCATTATTACATGAGTACACGAACATATATCTTAAATAAATAGAAATAAATGTTGATATGTATATGCATAAGTGTAGTATATGTTCGTTGAATATTAAATAAAATAGATTAGTTTTTTACTTAATTAGTTGCCTAATAGATCAAGTATTGTATCAATCGTGCTTCATATTTTTTTAATCTTTTTAATTTTGGAATATGAATAATAATTATTTATTTTTGTTAGATTGACAATATATGTAACACCCCTCCTTACTAAGAAATCAGAGTGCGCTAAAATTCGCAAAGTCTTTTTAAAAATAAACCTTTTTACTTTGCGAAAACTGATTCGGGGTGCTACCTTTAAAAATCGTGACTTAACTTAGAAAACCGTTGTTTTAATTTAATAAAAACGTCCGGTTACTGAAATCATAAGTTTTCTTAAAAGTTCGTCAAAAGTAATAAGTTCATCAAACGAGTACGTCGAAAGACATCAAAACATCATAAGTCATCAAGTATCGTAAGCGGAAGCATAAGTCATAATCATAATTATACAGTCCAAAACATAAATGTCCTGAAAGTCCCGTCACGTCACGTCACGCTCCCGGCCCGACGTCCTGACCTGAAAAAAACATGATAAAACTGGGGAGTGAGCACTAAGGCACTGTGCTCCGTGGAAACTCATACTA